AGAGAGAGAGAGAGAGAGAGAGAGAGAGAGAGAGAGAGAGAGAGAGAGAGAGAGAGAGAGAGAGAGAGAATTTCCTGTTGCCGTTTTGCTGGCATCCATAGCCGCGATTGTGAGGAACCTGCCTATATCATTTCAAGTTGTAAGGAAGTGCTGCGTGATCTCATATCGTGTGGAGCTTGTTGTTGCGTCTTCAATCTTGATCCGAGTGGACCGGATCTTTGCACTGAGATCTATCCCATCATATTATCGTGTAGTTAATGGCTGTCATCATTTGTGCTCACAGTGCTCGCTTGCTCAACTGAATGATTTGGTTGTTTGCAGCGTTGCAGGACATCAACGAGGCATTTGGCTCTCCAACCCCGGATTTCCCAACCCTGGATTTGAAGAGAAGTTTAATTAGATGTATAATGTAAAAAAAAAAAAAAAAAGGAGATGTATAATGTATTATCTTGAAGGTGTAGAAAGTGGTAATCATCAATCACTATGATAATATGATTGCATGGTCTGCAGCAGCCATCTTGTGCTCACAGAACATTCTTGGAGTTGGTCGTCGTATTGCAGGATATCAATGAACCTGTAGAGAAGCTGTTCAAGGAGGTCTCAGAACTGTTAGAGAAGAAATCTGCCTTGCAGCAGAGCCTTGCAAGAGCGCAGGAGCATCACAGGAAGAGCATGGAGCTCAAGGACAAACTGATCCGCAGGTTGTCGGCAGAGCTAGTGCCGCACAAACTGAGGGACAAATTTGCTGCCAATGCTCTGGAAAAATACAGACGCATCAAATCGGAGGTCACTATCACGTCCAAACCTTCCAGCTCCACAGAGAAGGGTATTTACAACCAGAATGGTGTTGTCTATTGCCTCTTCTCCCAAATGCTCTCTCTCTCTCTCTCTCTCTCTCTCTCTCTCTCTCTCTCTCTCTCTCTCTCTCTCTCTCTCTCTCTCTCTCTCTCGCCAATCAGGATTTCGGATCATTTGCCAAATGACAAAGAAAATGTTGAAATGACACACAAATGATAAACGAAATGATGAACGAAAGACAAACAAAATGACAAACGAATGACAAACGAATGACAAACAAATGGAAAGCGAAATGACAAACAAATCCCACGCATTTCACAAAGCAAAGGCGAAAACCATTCGGGGGCTCATTCAGCCTCTGGGAGAAGGAACCATTTAGTTCCTTGCACCCGTTTTTGTTATCTATGGTCAGAACTGAAGACTTTGGGCTTAAAACACCAGTACTTCCTAAAGTCGTGCCCGTTAACGCTACGTGATTTTAGGAAACGTACGGGCCACTACAGGAGCGCCCAAATTCATCCAACTACAAACGTTTCTACTCTATTTTTTTCCGCGGCCGATAGCTGGGCCAAGCACTGGTGGTTTAAGAGACTCGGCTCCTGAAGCTGAGGGCGCCGTTTATCTGTGCGTGCACGGAGGAGGTCCTGCGGCTGATGGAAATTATACCTGGATGTGGTGGCCCGTGTATAAATACTAAAAGACCATTGGATAAGCAGTTGTGATGGATGAGAGCGGAGTGTGGGACTGCTGCCTGTGTGGTGGATGCCTTTGTGTGGTGGTGTGTGTGTGTGTGTGTGTGTGTGTGTGTGTGTGTGCACGCAGGCACATCATGGCACGAACGCTATGCTAGACGAGCTCCAACGTTGAAAAAAGTCGGCACACCATGGTCACTCTCTATGCAGGCGTCGTGTACCCTACCAATGACGCAACTCATGCAAACTCGACAGGGCGTGGCCAAAACATCTAGTGTGCATAGTGGTTACTTGTAGGCGTGGGATAGACGCATCCATCTGCGGAAAGTGGGAAAAACTATGCCGGAGCATAATTGCGTCAAATACAGCTGCGGTATGACCCAGTACACACACACCGGGACATCACAAACAAACACAGAAGAAGGGGCAAATGTACGACAACAAAGCCGAGGGGCAGGGAGGCAATGTACCGTTGGATGACAAGGCACAGCAGGGCATCATAGACTGGAGGGCACATGGGGGAAGCAAAAAACTTGAGACAACACATAGGTTGGAGGGCACGGGAAGGCAGGAGGGGAGACAACACACCAGCACACAGGGCAGGGAAACGACAACAACCAGCGGAAAAGGCAAGTACCAAAAACAATTAAGACAACACATAGGTTGGACGGCACGGGGGAGGCAGGAGGGCATGAGAAGAAGATTATACACAATGGACCCAAAATTTAGAAGAAAATGCCTTGAGCTTTAATATCATGGCGTACAACACCTTCCCCTCCGCCGTTCCATAACCTGAAGTTACGGAAACTCAATCCTTCCACTCAATACACCACTCAGATTGAGGATTCCTACAGTACTCAACTCTACTTAAATATTACCTACATGCTCGACTCTCGGTCGAGTATGCAAAAATCCACAGCGGAAAAAAGGAAATAACAAAAAGATTATGCAATGAATGTATGCTGCCGAAAAACCAGTCCGGATGCTTATGGAAAACCTCCACAGTCGAGGGTCCGCTTGTCCGCCGTGTATCCATCGGGTCCTTCGTACCTAGTAGAAAGGCGCCGTACCGAAAAACGAGTTTACTTGACAATTACTTGAAGGAGTTCGTCTGTGAATAGCCATAGATCATCTGATCCGAATCAAGAGTCCTTGGTCCGCCGAATTGGAACCAGATAGTGAGGTACGTACATTCTGGCAGATTTTTGCGATTCGACTGGGCGGCTTGGATACTCAATTGTACATACTAGCGACAAACTTCCAAAAACGTCTGCCGAGTATCCATCGGGTCCTTCGTACCTAGTAGAAAGGCGCCGTAATGTCGTTACCTGACGGAGTTCGTTTGTGAATAGTCGTAGATCATCTGATCCGAATCAAGAGTCCTTGGTTCCGCCGAATTGGAACCAGGTAGTGAGGTACGTACATTCAGGAAGATTTGCGACTCGATTGAGCGGCTTGGATACTCAATTGTACAGTGCTGATATACTGGCGATAAACTTCCAAAAAGCATTCATAAATAGAGTGTTGCCAGTGCGGCGAGCAGTCCTGTTACTAGGTGCTTCAAAACCGTGCATAAAGTCGTACAGTCGGGTAGGTACAGTCCGTAATATACTTCCTGAGGCCAAAAAAAGTCTGCGGTTTTCAAAAAACGAGTTGCTGAGATCGAGGAAACGTGTAAGCCTCATTCTCCTTCTTAATGTTGAGACAGAAAACAGGCCTCCTTATGCGTGGCCTAAGTCATGGGGGTACATCCGAAACTAAATACTTGACGATCTCCTGGATCTGGCTCCAGAAGGGGTTGTCACACTCTCGTCGTTGCATCCATCTGAGACCAGCTAAGATAATATTGTTGGCGTACCCAAGTTTCTTGATTTCAACTGCCAATGTGAGAACACCAAGGCAGATGGTGCCCCTATCATTACAGTTTTCAGCGATACGAAGAATAGTATTTGCTATAGTGGCAAATTTGGCCGTTTTAGGCCCAAATGAAGTTGCGTTCTTGTAAGTCTGAAAATGCAAGTCCCCAGGTCCCCATATTGATTCGCGGTTCTTAAATTTGTGAGCGACAACTAATTTTTCAACTTCGGAGACGATTATCCTTGTTTCCAAAAAATCAAGAATTCCAATTCTTGTGTCGGTCCTTTCCAAAATGAGTTCCTTGGGATAACACTGTTTAATATTATCCAGGCGGTCATTAGCTCTGGTGTATCAAAAAAGGAAAAGAGTAATAGATCATCTATGTATCTTTTCCCAGTGATGAATTTTGCATCGGTGCCAAGTGATGTGATGAAGTTATACTCAGAGTACATACACATCAGTGACATCACACATGCAAGCGAGGGACTGACTCTCCCTCCCATTGGGATACCTTTCTTTTGGCATAGAATAGCATCAGAGACTAAAAACACAGTGTGTTTTAGTTGGAACTGGGTTAGGGAGATCAGAGCAGTAAGCCGGAAGGATTTCCAACCAGCTTCTCCGTGAGATTTCCCGAACGTTGTCAACGTTTTCCGAGTATTCAGTCGGATCCACCTCACACCTTTTTGAACAAACCACTCAATAATCCATTGGACTGCCCGATAAATAATCTCATGTGGAAGTTGGGTAAACATTTCTTTTCTATCGTACGTTCGCGCAACCACACCATATTTAGACATAGGGCCATCATTCGTATTGACAAACGAAATCACATGTTGAAGGTCTCCCAATGTCCTGAGATTAAAATGAGGTACATTAACCTTTCGAATAAGCGACTTCAAGGCAAGGGACAAAACTCATGAGGTAGCGCAAAACGGACTTTGAAAAGAAGGAACGATGGATCTTCTTTTCTCTTTGTCCTTTTCCTTAGCCATAATATAGGCATACTGCAGTTCTCCATGCCCATCCCATCTCGCGATTCGTCCCAAGTTCCTTTCATTATATTCTGTGCGGATCTCTCGCAAAATCGCACTTTTCTCATAATCAACGCATTCGTAATTCTCGTTTTCAAGAAACATAGTCTTTAGTCCCATCTCATAACGTTTAGGACACTCAACCCATGTTTCGCTGGTATTACGGTCCAGCGGGCCCAGGACCAGCCCTGCGAACGCGTGCTTCACTCCGAGGACATATTCACTCAAGATACATCATGCGGGCATAGTCTCACTTTTCTTGGTAACAGAACTGAAAGGAATTCGGATTTGGACAGATACCACTCCACTTTTCCGAATTACATCCAGGGCCTCATTACAGGCTCGATTCAAGTTATCTCGTGATGCCATAGTCCCAGGGAACAGGACATTCTTTGCATTAGATAGGAATGGGTCCATGCCACTAACTTCGCTAATCTTGACTGCGACATGCCCATTGATTTTGGGCAGATCGAAGTTTTCGCACACGCACTCGAAAGTGCTTTGTTGTGCGAAAAGTTTTTGATTATGCAGCAGATCTCCAACTGATTTGTCCTTTAACCAAACAGCGCGAGTTTTCTTCGCATACGAGTCAGCTAGCGAAGTAGGCAGGACATTATCTTTGATCCAGTCCTTTAAGCAACTTTCAACTTTCTTTTTATCCACAGCGGTGCAAAAGGGAATTTTCGCAACTATCTTAGCTCGGGGGTTCACACCAAACTTCTTTTGACACACATTCGTTAAAATGCCTCGAACAATTTGTCTACCGCGTGGTTGATTTATATTCTTCACAACAGCATCCAATTCCAAGAGTTCACTAAGGCTTCGTTTGACAAGTTCCTTCCTCTTCCAAGGGGCGCGAAGGAGCGGGATGACTTCTGATTTATTAATGTCAGTTTTTGTTTGGGTGCGGATGAGCAGAGTGATCGACCAAACACCACCTTGTTCAATGGCATACTTGGCAACTTTAAGCAGGAAGTTAGTATGTCCAATTATTAACTTATTGTGCCCAAACAATAAAGATACCAAGCGCCATGCTCTCATCCAACGTCCACCGGTGTTGTTGGTCACTGTTGCGGCTTTAGACTTACTTTTAAACAAGATCTTTAACACACGGAGCAAGTCTGGTTCCTTTCCCACATTAATATTCGAACAGGAGAACGGTAGTGGTTCCAACACATCAACAACGGACAAGACCGTGGGCGGATGATTCCCACGAGACCTGCGTGCCTTCCGGCGTTTCGCAGTTCCTCGCGAGTTTAACCCTGGGTTCAAACTCTTGATAATATCTTGTTCCATGCATTCAATTTCTGAATCGTTCCCGAACCAGATTGGAATAGGGACGTACGAGTCGATACCAATTTTTTGGAACCACGAATGAACCTTTTGTTTACTATTCCCACATACGGCACGACAGTGTTCAGACCAGCGCTCACGAAGGGATCTAGCCGTCTTACCACATACACAAGTTTATGATTAACTGACAATAGTGCATAGACGCAACTGTGTGCGTCAATCAGTCTACTCCATTCATCATGGTTAAGGCGAAACCAAAAGCGAACGTAAGTTCGCCCCCAACGCACATAGCCTTCTAAACATGCTAAGATAATTAAGAGCACCTGAATGCGTTCGAGCAGGTTAAACAGCGTTGGATAGAAAATCATTTTTGCACTGATAATTCGAGAGACAGCGCGACGAATCGATCAGATACTACCAAGGATTAGTTTCCCTTCACAGTGTCTTGATCGTCACCGCCATCATCGAGGTCGCCATCATCGCGGTCGATTTCCAAAGGAGTTTCCTTTTTCCGAGATTTATCGCCCACTCGAGTTCCCCGTTCCTCCCGCAGTGAGTCGGCATACTCTTGCAAGTCTTGTCTCGCGAGTTCCCAGACTGCAACATCCTTCTTGAAGTACTCAACGTCACGTTCTCTGCACAACGCCTGTACTTGTGTGTAGTGTAGGGACCCATAGTACTTTGCGCGCACCTTCATGTACGCAGCAAATCCGTCCTCGTCGGGATCTTCCTCATCCCCGTTAACTTGAGCATTCTGAGCTACGTCCCCATCTTCGAGATCGTCTTCCTCCTGCCGTTCTTTCCCTTCTCGCAGGACCACTTTTGCCTTCCCTTTCGGATCAGGCAGGCCGCACATAAGTGCTGCAAGCATCCGCTTAATGTCAGATAGTTCGTTGTTTGTGCTTTCGAGCTTGGATTGCAGGTTTTGCTTAGTGCCTGATGGTCCTTCGTCATCGGATAGCTCGATGCGCTTAGGCTTGGTTTTCGAACTGCCCTTAGACCTTGGCTTGGCACGTGCTGTCGACGGAGAGTTCTCCATCGGAGTGCGGACGTCACTTCTCTTGCGTTTCTCATTACTCGAAAGTTCCTTATTCCCGCCTTGCACTTCCCGTCGGAGGCGTTCCAACTCCTCTCGCTCCGTAGCGTCCAGCTTAGACTTCTTGTCCACATCATCAAGTTTCGAGTTAATGAGTTTCAAAGAGTCCCCCAACGTGGTGGTAACCCACGCTTTCATCTCATCGCTTTTTTCAGAGCGAGCACCGTCTCCGCTGCCTTCATCAGGAGGTTCGATGCTCCGGGTACCGCTCCGCTTGACAAGTCCAATTCTTGGTCCGACGAGTTTCTTCTTGGCTGCATCGATTGCTTTGTTGGACTTGATGTTCTCCAATATCTCCATGTACTCTTTGGTGAAGTACGCCCGATTACCAGGTCCGGGAAAATTGTTCACGGTCGGGCCTTTGCCCCCTCCACTTGACGCCGAGCTACCACCATGCCCACCGTGAAAGCCGTGTGGGTTTGGTTGAACTGCGGGAGGCTGCTGCGGCTGAATCGCCATCTGAGCAGGCTGTTGAACAGGTTGTACTGCTGCAGACATCTGTGTGAATGGTACGCTCCCCATCCATGGTGCGTTGCCTAGCCAAGGGGCAGGCTGCTGCTGGGGTAGACCCCAAGGTTGCGGGCTCCACTGGTTGAGTACTGGTTCGTACTGCATAGGACCAGGAGTTGTTGTCGGAACAGGAGCAGGAGCTGGTGGCACATGAGTTTCTGGTGGTGCATGCACCTGCCCACCAGCGTAGTATAGAGGAAGCACGCCCGGTGGTGCTGGGTGCGCAGCCGGGCCCGCAACAACCGGATATGGTACGCTGGGTCCAGCATGTTGCGCGTACTGGTTTCCGCTCGTACGCTCCATCCAATAGCGACCGCAATTAGACCACTTGCCACGTCGACTGCCGGCCTTTCCACTCTGATTTCTCGAGTACATGAGCCCCGCAACGAAAGAGATGATACACAAGCTTACGCCAACGCTGAATGCGATCTCAGTGACGCGCTAATGCTCAAACCAGCTGCACGTTTCGACAGAGGCAGTGGCCTTCACCACCATTCCCCTCCTACCATGCGTGTCGCAAGCCGAGAGGGCGTATCAACGACGCCGATGGCTAGCCCAGCTTCACGCTAATTAGGAAGGAAGGATAGTAGGAATATTGAAAACCATACGTGTTAAATCGAAAATTGGACATAAAATTTTAAACGTAAAACTCAAAGACTCCCAATACGCCCATTAAAAAGTGACGAAATAATAGGATCTATGCCAACATTCCCATGACGCGTCAAGCAAGGAACGGAAGGAAGCAATACGCATGAAATCGATTAAGAATAATTAATTAATAATAATTCAAAATAATTGAACAGCAAAATGGAAGCACGACTTCACAGAGTATGCTCAATGAAGACGGCACCTCGGCATCGTTCCCAAGCCACAGCAAGGTCGATGCTGAGGCTCATGTCCATGAGAAGAAGATTATACACAATGGACCCAAAATTTAGAAGAAGATGCCTTGAGCTTTAATATAGTTGACGAATGTTGACGAATACCCAGTAGGGGTGCCGGCGCTGCGCTACCGGGGGAGCAGCGCCGGCGCCAAGCAAGCTATGGAGGAACGTGCGCCGCGGGCGGGCGACGTGGTAGTGTACCGATGCATGTGCCAGGTGGAGCGCTGCTAGCGGGCGGTGCGCTGCCAGGTGGAGTGCCGCTAGCGGGCGGTGCGCTGCCAGGTGGACTGCTGCTAGTGGGCAGTGAGCTGCCGGGTGGAGCAGCGCTAGGGCGCGGCTGCAGAAAATGAGGGAGGTGACATCGCAGAGACACAGACGTTGAGCGCTGCTACTCTACAACGGGGATGGTGGCGTCTCTAGTTGACAGAGAGGAGGGAGAGGCGATGGTCTTCTGTTCTGTTTCGTGCGGATCTCCTGGCGTCACAGGCTGGCGCAGGTAGAGACGGGGGGTTGGTGCTTCTGCTTCGTGGCGCGAACCTTCAGGCGTTGGAAACCTCAGTGTGACTGAGGATACTTTGCTTCATGGGGTGGGACGTTCTCTTCGATTCTGGCCAGCTTTCAGTTTCAGTGTCCTGGTGGATTTGTCGTCGGCCTTCACTCGTACTGCGTTGCCAACGGCGGTAATCTTCATCATCATCATCATCGACATTTTTCATAATGTGGGGATAACGACGGTAATCATCAGCAGCAGCAGCAGTAGCAGTATTACTGACATCACCATCATCATTATGAGCATTTTCATTGGTGCGTCATCATCATCTTCATCATCATCATATCATCATCATCATCATCATCATCATCATCATCATCATCATCATCATCATTATTATCATCATCATCATCATCATCATCATCATCATCATCATCATCATCTTCATCATCATCATCATCATCATCATCATCATCATCTTCATCATCAGCAGCAGCATTACTGACATATCATCATCATCATCATCATCATTATGAGCATCTTCATTGGTGCGTCATCCTCATCGTCATCATCATCATATCATCATCATCATCATCATCATCATCATCATCATTATCATCATCATCATCATTATCATCATCATCATCATCAACATTACTGACATCATCATCATCATCATCATCATTATTATGAGCATCATCATTGGTGTGTCTTCATCATCATCATCATCATCATCATCATCATCATCATCGACATCATCAACATCATTATCATCATCATTATGATGATGATGAGTATCATCATCATTATGATGATGATGAGTATCATCATTATTAGTTTGTTATCAGTAGAGTTTGCTCTTCAAGGCATCGTTCGCCTTTCGCATCAGTAGGTGAATGGGTCGTCATCATCATCCTCATTATCATTATCTTCAGGGTGCTATCCTTCGTCATCAACAAAATCCCAGCGAATGACATTTTGGTGAAGGGGAGGGGGAGAGCCCAGCCCCGCAGGGGTTTCATTAAGCGGGTGGTGAAATCCTGGAGGGGATACGGGGAGATTGTGAGCAATACTCTTTTCTGGGGCTGGGCATCAAATCCCAGCGGGGGTAGATTAAGGTAAAGGGATAGATAGGGTCATGGAGATAATGGAGGAAGGAAGGGAGAGAGGGGATTTTTTCTGAATCATCTCATCATCAAAATCATCATCATCATCATCATCATCCATGTTATATCATGCTTTCTGGTGTGCTGTAATTCTCGGTTGTATCTGGCCTCCTTCCTTAATCAGGATATAGGATTTTAGAGATGGTTGAATCTGGACCGATATCTACAGAGTTGCTTTGTCTTTGCCCCTGGTTTGGCAATGCCAGAAYGACSCTKGTCGGARCTGGGGCRTTGCCCTGTAACCTGCAATTAGCAGGAGTGTGAGGCCTTGTAGAGAGATCTGGGGATTTGCCGAGGGAGGAAGGCAATCCAGTGGCGAACCGGGGGGGCTGCCTTCACAACCTATGGGGCCAGGGATAGTTTGGGTGGCGAGAACAGGTCAGCTATGGTAGACATTGGTTAGGAGGGTATTGTCTCTGAGATGTAATGTCCTGGTTCAGGGAGGGCTGGGAGGGTTCGGAGATTAGGAGGCCAGAAATGCTGTTATAACTTCTATATACTAATCATCATATTCATTATCATCATTATCATAATCTTCATCATCATCATCATCATCATCATCATCATCACATCATTAGTATCATCATCTGATTATTGTTATATTAAGCTTTTTGGTGTTCTGAAATTTTGGCTGCATATAGTATTCTTCCACATTCAGGATATAGGACTTCAGAGATGGTTGAACCTGGACTGATATCTTCTAAGTTGCTCTGTTCTGTGCCCTTGGTTTGCCGATGCCAGAACGACGCTGGCCGGAGCTGGGGCGTTGCCCTGTAACCTGTAAATAGCAGGAGTGTGAGGCCTTGTAGTGGTGAACCGGGGGGGAGGTTGGTTTTGTCTCTGAGGTACAGTGTCCTGGTACAGGGAGGGCTAGGAGTTGTACTGGGATTAGGAGGCCAGAATAGCTGATATAGCATAATCTTATATATTTTTTCATATATTTGAATTATCATTCTCATTAGCATCATTATCTATGGTATCATCAGTATCATCATGGTCATCATCATAACCATTTGAGGGACGCTGAGCCCGGTTCTCAGCAGTTTTGGTTCGATCACTCCGGGCAGACTGTGAGGACCCCGGCCTCAATCTAATTATTGGCAATATCAGCCATGGGCACCGGGCCCGGTTTAAAAATAAATAAATAAATAAATAAATAAATAAATAAATAAATAATAAATAAATAAATCATGGCGTACAACACCTTCCCCTCCGCCGTTCCATAACCTGAAGTTACGAAAACTCAATCCTTCCACTCAATACACCACTCAGATTGAGGATTCCTACAGTACTCAACTCTACTTAAATATTACCTACGGACATAAGGGGCCATGTCCATGAGGGTTCATGACCCAAACCATCCAATACGAGGCGGGAGGGCAGACAACACACCAGCACATAAGGCAGGGAATCGACAACAACCAGCGGACAAGGCAAGTACCGAAACCAAGAAAACTGTTGCACCGACTCATCAGGAGGCTGAACCCTCGACAATCTGCAGAGTCTTCGTATTGGATGGTTTGGGTCATGAACCCTTTGAACCATGTTGAAGCCAGACTGTCCCCAAGCAGAACATAGCAGCGAACCCTCGACAATCTGCAGAATCTCTGTATTTGATGGTTTGGGTCATGAACCATTTGACCCATGTTGAAGGCAGACTGTCCCCAAGCGGAGCGGAACATAGCAGCAGGCAGCAACCCTGCGGAGCACCAGGCAACGCAGTAGAGGCAACATGGCTGCACAATGCCAAAGACGACTGCAAGGAACGGCACGGCAAGCGGAAGAACAGCATAGCGACAGTGTAGTGATGCACAAGGCCACACAAGCAAGGCAACCACACTGCAAGGGACGACAAGAGGAGCTGACAAGCAGCCCGGCAACCATGCAGCGAAGCACAAGGCAACACCAACAAGGCAACCAAACTACAAGGCACGCAAGCAACAAACACGGAAGTGTGTGCGTGTGTGTGTGTGTGTGTGTGTGTGTGTGTGTGTGTGTGTGTGTGTGTGTGT